CAACAAGTGATCCAAAATTAGTGGCAAGGAGGGTGTGAGAGGCCTTGTAGGGATTCAGCAAGGGCAGTGTAACCGAGGGAAATTACTGAAACCCAAATGAAGGCTGAGCATGATAGTGGGAAAAGAGGAAAGTAAAAGGAAATAGAGGAAAAGAACTGGAGGCAAAGGATATTTATAGAGGTCTAAATACAGGCATGTACATATGTAAATATATTTTTATAGGATGGTGTGGAAAGAGATCTACATGCATATACTTATAGCTTTAATATTAAGGCAGCAGATGGACATTAGACCTCCATTCAAGTACTTACTCAATGCAACACTTTATTCTATTAAATTGACATCCCATGATGCACACCTTCCCGACATGACGGCGGAAGACAAATGTGTGCATAAAGCAAATGTGGTGAAGAAAGCTGATGGTGCGGGCCCGACTACTACAAGATATAGCGCCTGGGGTCTTAAAGGCTTGAAGAAAAACAAGCAGGCATCTAGCTCAGAAGCAACAAAACCTACGTGAAAGAAGCACACCAGCCTTTGTGACCACGAGGTATCGAAAGGATCAGGTCATCAGGCATCAAAGAACAAAACATCATTGTAAATGAGGGTGGGTGTAGAGTGGAGACCCAAAGCCCATCTGTAGGAAACTGGACACCCCCTTATAGAAGGGTTGCAGGGAGAAGAGCCAGTCAGGGTGCAGGCTAGCAAAGATGAAGCATATAAGTTTCCTCTAGTTCTTAAATGCTTCCTCCCCACCAACGATCAGGATCCCAATTCTAAATTACAAATCTGGCTAGACCAGAGGATGTACACTGGTACAGATAAGAACTAGAAACACAGGGAATCCAGGACAGATGATCCTTTCAGGACCAGTGGTGAGAGTGGCAATACCTGGAGGGTGGAAGGAAGAAGGGGTAGAAAGGGGGAACCAATTACAAGGATCTAAATATAACCTCCTCTCTGGGGGATGGACAACAGAAAAGTGGGTGAAGGGAGACATTGGACAGTGTAAGATATGACAAAATAATATCAATTTATAAATTATTGGGATTTCATGAGGGGGTTAGGGAGGGAAGGGGGAAAATGAGCTGAGATGAAGGGTTTGAGTAGAAAGCAAATGTTTTGAGAATGAGATGGCAACAAATGTACAAGTGTGCTTGACACAATGGATGTATGTATGGATTATGATAAGAATTGTATGAGCCCCCAATAAAGTAATTAAAAAAAAAGAAAATATATATTTAAAATAAATACTAGTATTATGTACTACACTGATAATTGTTCAATAAATATATTTTACCCATTTTTAAAATTAAAAAAAAGAAATGTCTTAAATGTTCTTTTATGTTATTATATGGAAAGAGGGGGGTATGTGATAATATAATTATTTTTGGTGAGACTTTACAAACCTAGCAGTAGTCAGTACCATTCAACTCAAAGAGTAAGTAGTAAAAATAAAACCCAGTGTTTTATTTCGGGATCTGCATTACCATACTGTGTTTAAGTCTTTCTTATTTCTATGGATAATGAAGGAACAAATACTCTAGATAACTTCTGATGTCCCTTGAAATTCTAAAACCTGGTTTGAGCATGCTGTAAATAGACATAAAGTTGTATGGATTCCTTTCTAAGCATTTCAGGAGCCTATAATCTCTTCCAATTCATTTTCTTATTGTCAGAGTGAAGCTTTATAATTAACCATGCTACAGTTTCTTTACCTGAAAAAGCTAATTATTATAACTTTACTGTTTCTCCAGATATGACTAAAATTCTTCAATCATGTCATTCGTTCAAGGACTCTTTTCCCATGGCAGTCTTACCAAGACCCTATCACAATGTACTGTTCGATGTTCCCCACGTTAAACTGTTAAGCAGAAATCCTGTCTCATTTACCTTCCATGATATTTTCATACTCTAGCACACTACTGGGGGGGCTTCAAAAAGTTTGTGGAAAAAGTCTGTATTTTTTGAATTTCATTCTTCCCGCACTTTGTGAAGCCCCATCATAAATGCCTGATGAATAAAGATGAAAAGAATTAACCATCTTAAACATCACACCGAAGAAACATCAAACAAATGGAATTTTTTAACGTTACTCATAGGTATAAACAAGTGAAACTGCCAATAGAGGACCATTAAACTAATACGTAACAGGTACTTAACGGTGAAATGTACAGAGTACTTGAATAAAGACACTGAGGACATACTTGTCCTTTTCGTTTTCTTCATGCTTGGAGAGACTGCAGAGTTGAAGTGTGTCGAGCTGTTGTGTTACTTCTTCTGCCCAACGACAGTTCACCAGTTCTCGGAGCTGGAGGGGAGCACTAAGAGAGAAATACAGACACGTATTTTAACTCAGCAATTTGGGATTATTTTTCTAAATCAAGAATTTACCTCAAAATAAAGCTTGCTATCATATTTGTGCATTACTATTAAAATAATTACAAGGATGCAAGCAAAAGCATACTTATAAACCTATTTTCACCACATTGTCATTTGCACCTTAGGAAAAATATTGGCAGTTTAAATTAAAGATTCAATTCCCAATTTGGTCTAAGTACTGATTCCCAAACTTATTTGGCCTACCACACCCTTTTCAGGTTAAAAAATTACCCAGTACCTCTCTGTGATAAAATGTAGTTATCTGCTCTTGCAGTCTGCCCCCTGAGTTACTCCACTGACCCCTTGGGGAGGCCCTGCCCCACTTTGAGAAACACAGAACAAACTGCCATACTGTTCAATATGGTAGCCACAGCCACATTATGATTATAAAATTATTATTAAATAAAAGAGAATGTCATCCTCAGTCACATTAAACATTATCTCAAGTGCTCAATAGCCACATGATTGTGGCCACCATACTGGATGAGTAGATGGAAAACATTTCCATCATCACACAAAGTTCTATTTGATATCACAGACCTTAAATGTTAAATGATAAAAGTGAACAACACACAAAGAAATTTGGGCAAAAGATATGGAAAATTACTTCAGAGAAAAAAAGCAGATGTTAAAATCACTAAACTGTAAGACTCGGAGCACGTTGCTCTCCTGTGATGTCAATTCGTTTTACGTGCGTATTAGAAGCAAGCTATAAACGCAAGATGCTTCACTTGACAGAATGACCAAAACAGAAAACAACCTCAAACAGAAGATCTAACATTCACAAGAATTTGAGGAAAAGGTGCCAGAGAAGTTTAAAATGGTAACAACCTTTCCTTTAGGCACTCTAGCATCATTATTTGAAGTAACCAAAAGTGGAAACAACTTCAATATGGGTGTAAATAAATCATGGTATATTCATTCATTTTTTTTGAATGATGCATGTGTACACAATACCTTCAAATCTTACATAGGCAAATTGTGAAACGTTTGTGTTTAAAGAAAAAAAACAAATGTGTGAAAACATACATAATAGTCTCATGCACATAAAAATGTTTGGAAGAACAGACAGCAAACCTAACAATCTATTCTGAGTAGTATATCATGAAAAGATAAAAAGGACTATCAGACTCTGCCCCCCTCTACTAACTGGATTTCTTAAACCATAATAATTTTCATTATTATTACTTTAATTTTAAAAATGTTACACAGTAATTTTCTCAAAGGAGGCAGGAGTACTACAGAGCAAGCAACACAATGCGTTCTACATGGATTCTGAAGCAAAAAATTTCCCTATCTGGACAAATTGCTTGTCTTCTTCCCATTGTCTTTACGAAGAAGAGAAATTATAACACATTTCAGACAGAACTTGTCTTTGTGAGTCTTGTTTGGGTTGAAATAACCCAACCACTCTCATTTTCCCAATTTACAAATCATAGCAAAACACTTACCGGCAATGAGGACACTGGGCTCTCTGCTCTGTCAGCCAACGCTATGGAGACAGAAAATTAGATTATGTTAATTTATAATGTTCTTCTTTGGTTAACACAAACTCACTGTCCCCTAAGTTTTCTACTTCATCTTTGGGGTTGCTTCTGTGAATTTTATCCCCCTGAGATAATTCTTAAGACAATGTAAAATCTGAGTAAGTTTAAGGTGCTATTAAACTACTTCTTAATAAGCAGATGAATTTTGACACACATAAATTACAAGCAACAAAATTAGAACAAAACTATGAATTACAGCACAATCTTGGGTCTCTTAAATTTTTCAGTTTAGTAATCTTAATACCTACATAACTTGAATTCCTCAAGTATAGATTTTCAAAGGAAATAACACTATTAAATCCCAAATTTTACTTCTCCCTTTAACTTATTACTATGAAACAGGTTTATACCATATATATGAGGGAGGCTTCAAAAGCTCATGAAATTTTTCATTATCCTTTAATTTCATTTTTCCATTAATTTTTTGAAGTTATCTCATAAAAAAATGATGTTAAGACTTTATGAATACCTTTCCGGGGGAAAACAACAACTTCATGATTACAGTTTGTTTTAATTATCTCAGAGGTAAATGATCTTCACCAGTATGCTTCCAATCTGTTATTTCTGTTTACCCCTTCTTCTCTAAAGCAATGTGAACTTTTTAGTGCACAAAGAGGCCAAAATTATGGAGACTTTCTAAACATATCCAAATTACTTGTGGATTTGGTATGCTGGATTGAAGGGCTTGGACAGTCTTCTGGGACAATTTAGTCAGCAGATATAACAGAATATACAGTTAATATTCTACACATCCTAGTTTGGCGAGTAGTGCCTGGGGTCCTAAAAAGTTGCAAGTAGCCATCTAAGAAATAACTCTTGGTCTCTATTCTTCTAGAGAAAATAAAGGAAACTCAAGGAAGAAACTAGTCCACCAGAACCACAGCCTCTTCTAACCTGAGGCTAGAACTAGATGGCACCTCCAATTACTACTACCTGATCATTCTGACCAGGGACACAAAAGCAGGTCCCAAGTCAACTGGGAAAAAAAAAAAATTAAAATTCATAACAACCTGACTTACTGGAATGAGAGACTGGGGAACCCTCAAGATTATTAACCCATGATACTCTTTTAACCTAGAACTGAAACCACTCCTGAAGGTCAACTGCCATGCAAACAACAGATTAAATTTAAAAATATACAATACTGCCCATGAGTAATGTGTCCTTAACAATTAACTATATGAGAACAAACTGCCAACATTTACCCAACACCAAAGATGTGAAGATAACGACAGGAAGGGAAGTTGAATCAATGAAAATAAAATGAATAAAATGGAAATCATGAGAATGTATACATAATGCAAAAAATGTAACCAGCATGAAAACAATTTATATTAAAATGTTAAATGGAAACCTAATTCACTGTGTAAAACATTCACCTGCAAAAAACAAAAAAACACACATGCACAATGAAACATTTTTAAAAACAGTAAATTTTTACCTGAAGTCAAAGCATTAACTCAAAAATAAAATTCCCAAGGAAACCTTGAAACAAAACGCTCACTGCCATCAAGTTAATTCTGACACAACGACTCTACAGGACAGAGTACAACTGTCCCTGTGAGCTTCCAAGGCTGTCAATCTTCATAAGGGAATAGACCTGTGGTTCTGACCCTTTCACACAGTTCCTCATGTGGTGGTGGGACCCCCCAACCATAACATTACTTTCGTTGCTACTTCTTAACTGTAATTTTGCTACTGTTATAAATTGTAACATAAATATCTGATATGCAGGATGTACTTTGTTACAAATATAAGCATAGAGATTAATCACAAAATCAATATGTAATCATATATTGTGAAATATTTATTTCTAATTACAAATAAAGGAAACTTTGTCTAGAAGACTGGTGTAGCATGGTTAACAATCTTCAAGCTGGGTACTCATATGTGGGCGTATCTCCATGTGGGCAGACCCACGTGGAGACAAAGAGCAGTGTCTCAATTCCTAACACCATCGGAAATATGTGTTGTCCGATGGTCTTAAGCAACCTCTGTGAAAGGGTCATTTGACCCACAAAGGGGTCAGGACTCACAGGTTGAGAACCGCTAGAATAGACTCATGTTTCTCCCACAAAGCAACTGGTGGATTCAAACGGATCTTACGGTTAGCAACCTAACAACCTCTACGATAACCAGTTCTCCTTAGGAAACCTAACAGGAAAAGCAGAATTTAGATGATAGGAAAAATGGTAGTTTACATCAATCAATCCATCAATTAATCCACTCTAGAAGAAAGAAAAGGTAGAGGAAGAAGATTTCCTCTCTTCTTCATACTCCTAAATGTCATTTTCCTGTTGGTGCGTCTATGAGATTTAGGTCAGAAGTTTCCCCCTAGAACATTATGCTACCCACACCACTCTTCTCTTAAGGTATAGTTTCCCCCACAGAAGTTATCACAGCCCACATCTTAATAACCTCATCTGCTACCTCACCATCTGACTTAGCAAGGTTAAGCATTTGAATGTTTTCCTCTATCTGCCTAGGATATTCTTCATCACTTCTCTTAAGTCACTCGTACTTTCCTTTAGATTTCAGTGCATATGTCACTTCTGACTCTACCTACCATTTCATTTTATCTACAACGCCATGTCCTACCACAAGCTGTACATCCCCCTTCACTGTGCTTAATCAACTTTAACGATATGTTGATCTCACCTGCCCTGTACTGAAATAGGAACCACTTTTATTATTATTTTTACTACTATTAAATACTTTTATTTAGGGCTCTTACACCTATCACAATCCATAAATTAATCCACTGTGTCAAGCACATTTGTCCATATGTTGCCATCATCATTTTCAAAGCATTTTCTTTCTACTTGAGCCCTTGATATCAGCTCATTTGCCCCCTTCCCTCCGCCACCCTCCGTCCCTCATGAACCCTTGAAAAGTTATATATTATTTACATATTTTACACCGTCCTGATACCCTTCATCCACTTTTCCTCCCCATAAGAGGGGACTATATGTTGATCCTTGTGATTTCCCCTTTCTCCCTCCACCTTCCCCTTATTCTGCTGGTATTTCTACTGTCATTGTTGGTCCTGAGGGGTTTATCTATCCTGGATTCCCTGTGTTGCAGGCTCTTATTTGTAGCAGTGTGCTGTTCTGGTCGAATGCGATTTGTAAGGTAGAACTGAGGTCATGATAGTGGGGGGAGGGGGGCATTAAAGAACTACAGGAAATTTGTATGTTTCATCGATGCTATACGGCATCCTGACTGGCTCATCCCTTCCTTGTGACCCTTCTGTAAGGCAATGTCCAATTTTCTACAGGTGGTGAGATAGTTTATTGTGCCAGCCTGGCCAATAAATACAAGTGGGATTAACTGAAGGGCAGAGAGATAAATGGCTAGGTGAGCCTCGCCTTTCTTGTCGCTCGCTCTTTGAGCATCGGACCAGTGTGTGGCTGCCTTGCTTGTTCTGTGCCTCAATTTACAGGCTACACTACCTGTGGGACGCCTAGCCTGTGAACTATGTCACTGTACGTTAAGGACCCTTGTTCTGTGCCTCAATTTACAGGCTACACTACCTGTGGGACGCCTAGCCTGTGAACTATGTCGCTGTAAGTTAAGGACCCTTTAAGACATCTCTGGAGCTAGGGACTGGCAGTTGGTAACCTGGCTGACAGTTGGTGACCTGCCTTGTGATTGGCTGCTGTGCTGAGATAGCCTAGTTCTCTCTATATATAGAGGAAGACCTGGCAGGAGACTAGCCTTGAAGGACTGCTACTGTCTCACAACTCTCTCTCATGGGAGTGAGTTGCACTGAGCCATTTGTACTGCTTTATAAGTTAACTGTTCATTTCTTATATATTTATCTGTATTTGATTTAAGAGTTCATTTCTTGTTATATATCTAATTATCTTTATAAATAAATATATTAAATTATCAGCAATTTGGTTTTATCTCTCTAGACAACCCTGTCTAACACAGATGGGCTTTGGGTATCCACTACACACACACACACACACACACACACACACCCATTCATATTGGTATGATTTTGTTCTGAGTCTTAGATGCCTGATACCTGATTCCATTGACACCTCGTGATCACATAGGCTACTGTGCTTCTTCAATGTGGGCTTTGTTGCTGCTCAGCTAGATGGCCACTTATTTATCTTCAAGCCTTTAAGACCCCAAATGCTATATCTTTTGATAGCCGGGCACCATCAGCTTTCTTCACTACATTTGCTATGCACCCACTTTGTCTTCAGCGATTGTGTCAAGAAGGTGAGCATCACAGAACGCCAGATTATTAGAACAAACTGTTCTTGTGTTAAGGGAGTACTTGAGTCGAGGCCCAATGTCCATCTGCTACCTTAATTCTTAACACATATATATATATAACTACATAGATATATTCCCCTATCTTATATATAAGTATATTTACTATGTACATGCCTGTATTCAGACCTCTATAAAGTCCTTTGCCTCCTGGTTCTTTCCTCTATTTCTGGCACCACTCTTAAGATATCTATTTGTTCGTATGAAGGGGTTTCAAAAAGTTTGTGGAAAAATACAATTTCGTAATCCTAGCCCATGGAAAAGTCCAGAATATGTCAATAAAATCTTTCTGCCTATCCCAGACTAGAGTAATCTTTCCCTTCTGAATACTCGTGGCATTCTTAAATTGTATTCCATAATCTAGTTCAGTCACACAGTAAATACAATTTTAGTAAGTGGGGGAAAAATGGGTCTCCTAAGCCAAAACTAGAGGTAAGATCCAGTGATACAATATTTGGTTAGTTATATTAAAAGAACATTTAAAAAATAATTCCTTCATATTCAATTTATAAACTGATTTTCTCCCCCACATTAATGTGGAAGTACATGTTTTTTTATAGCATTCAGATATGAGTCTAATCCCGAAGTCTGGTGTTCACAACTGTGACATTGGATAAGTAACAGAGCTCAAGTTCCTTAAATGCAACATGAGAAC